CAGGTCCAGGGTCAAGGTCCAGAGTTCAGGAACAAGAGACGTGGATGCCAGCCAAGATGTTGACTCCTTGCTTCCACAAAGTTTCTGGCTTCGCTGAAGCTTGTTTTATCCTAAAGCAGCTCCTTGAGCTGTTGGAAAGCTCTCTATTCTGCTAGTACTCAGGGCTAGGTGAACGCAGGTCCCTGTGGAAAGCCTTAGAGCAATCCTCTGCTCTTCTTGCCCTGAGTCTTTTCCGAAGCCTGCCCCGAAGCCTGTCTGCTGTGGAGGGAGAACCTGGAGGCTGCTCAGCTGTTTCCGATCTCTCCACATTCTCCTCAGCCACAGTTAACCCTTCTGGGTCCAGATCTTCGGAAGCACTCATGACAGGGAGTTGAGTATTTGTAGCTGTGGGATAATGGTTTTGTTCATTTCAGAAGACTGGGTGATTATTGTGATCAGAGTGGTTTTTGTTGTGTATTGTTGTGATAAGGGGGGAAATGATCTGGAGAAACATTAGGAAGAAAAACCTCCAGAACACGGCCAACAGCCCAAAAAACCTACAACAACCATCGGATCCCAGCTGTGAAAACCTTTGAGAATACAGTTAGTGGGTTAATTGACCGTTAATGAGACACAAAATCTGATTTGATTAAGCTTACACTGGAGAGGGGATTTTTAAAAAAACTATTAAGTTGTTTTTATTATTTATTTATTTATTTTACTTATTTCATATCTAGGGTGCCTTTCTCCTAGGGAGGGAACCAACGTAGCTCACAATAACTTAAACAAATCATACTAAAACAAAACATTACAAAATTAATAAGCAATTAAATGTACTATAATAATGAAAAAACAGTTAATTAATTATACAAGAATAATTAAAAAGCATTTTAAAACTTTAAAAACACACTTAAAGGAACACAAGCCCAGCATGCAAGTGGGTAAACCACTTCTTAGTATCTCTGCCTAGAAAACCCTGAAAAAAGGGGGTCTCCTTAAGTCTCAATTGATGGCACATGGTCATTAAAGAAATACAATAAAGTTTGAAGTCTGCCCTTGAACATATTAAAGATTAACTATCCAAAAATGCACATTTTAAGAGCATTTATTACAGGTCATTTTGCTTTTTTTTAACATAGTAGCACAGTTACCAAAGTATCTCCCCCTCCTCCTGCAACAACATGCACACACTATCCCACACAGTGTCGCATGACTCAACGCACAACAACAAACGCCTACACTAATTTCTTAAGATGATGCAGGCATTAAAAAACACAATGAGATTTTAGCCATTAACATAAGCCTATTAAAAAGTTTATTGTTACAAAGACTTTTGTTGCAGCAGTAACAGACAGTAAAAGACAGAACCAGTTAAATGGCAGGGAAGTGGACTAGTGCCAAAACTCAGATTCAGAATTCAGAATTCTAAAAATTCAGAATTTCCAGATATTCGTAACCCCATCACAGTCATTACGAATACTGTAATATCTAATCATTATTTTTTCCTTTGAAAAAACGCAAATGGGTGAAACATTTCTAAATAATTTCCATGTGTCCTCTGATGCCTCCCCTGTCATTGTGCCAAACAAAAAGAGTGCACACCAACATCCAGCAGTGCCTAGGCATTAGGAAATAAGGAAGCACACCTGTAGTGGTGGAGAGCCACCACTTCAGGCCAACCAAAAAACTAGACCTTGCCTTTCTGTAGCTAGACTCTAATGCAGCAGCATGTCCCTCAGGGCCTCTTGAATGTTGTGAGGTGTGTGTTGTACAGATGGGCACAAACCAGCACAATGGTAGTTTGTGATGGTTCATGATTGGTCAATGTCCATCAACCACAAACTATGCAGATTATTTTTTTAAAAAATGAACTGGCTTGTGGTTCATTCTGTTCTAAATGAAGGGGGAAGGGTTCTGTGCAGCTGAGCTACACAGAAAGCCCCCCCCTTAATGGGTTTCCCGCCCCATACCATCCTTTATGGGCCCCAGCACCTACCTTACTTCTTAATGGGTTTCCCGCCGCATACCATCCTTTATCGGCCCCAGCACCTACCTTACTTCCTCTGGGCCTCTTCCTCCATTCCACTGCTACCCAGCGGAGTAGAGTAGTAGTCTGTCCGGGGCCTATGTTCTGCCCAGTTCTTCCTGGCAGGCTTAGGGTATTCTGGAAATTGTGGTTCTTTGAGGGTTCCCCTGTAGCTCAATGGAGAGCAAAACCACACTTCCTACAATACCCCTCCAAGAAACCTCCAGGTGGTGGTGGAGGGGAGGAGGAGGAGGAGGCCTGGAGCGAGTAAAGCAGGTGTTGGGACCACTGAAGGGCAGGCTTTCTAGGGATAGAGAAACCAAGCCAAATGAAACTCCAACAATGAAAAAGTTGGGTGTTTCATTTCACTTCATGAAACTTGCTATTTGCCATCTATCTCCCTGCTTCTCTGGGCTGGTGGCTCAATCTCTGCCCCCCCCCCTTTACCCTTCACAAAAAGGAAGCCATTTGCCTCCACAGTATCCACTTCAACTAGTGGCAAATGGCTCATTTACAAGCCTAAAAGGAATTAGAAAACTAGTTCTTTAACCTACCATGCTTTGCTCCCCCCGTTGTTCTATGATTCTAAGGGAGAGTCTGGGTCTGTTTGCCATTCTTTGTAGCTGTGCTGAGAAGCTGCTCTCTGTACATGCCCCAGAACTACACAATCTCTCCACTCAGGTATAAGTACAATGGTGCCTTGACTTATGAACTTAATTGGTTCCAGAACTCCGGTCGTAACTCAAAATGGTCATAAGTCGGGACGTTCATAAGTTGAGGCACCACTGTATTAGATCAGGTAGTTTTGTTTTTATTATTTTCTGATGAGTTTACTCCTGAAACCTTTAGGCCTGTTTCCACATTTGCACCTGCATTTTGAAAAAAATTTCACTTGTATCTACTTAGAACGTTTGGTCTTTTCCCCCCTTTTAATTGCTCTTCCCTCCACTTTTTTCCCTTTCTCTTTAATAAAATACAAAAATCCTTTCAACCAGAAGTCTGGATTTTGGCTAAGAGTAGATAGGGTCCTCAAACCAGTCCTTGCCTTTACCAGTGGCTAGGATCTTTCAGTGTTTGTGTGTGGGAGGGGTGGCAGCGTTACTTTTCAAGGGAGGCACCTTGCTAGTCTTAGGGATTCCTTTTTTTGCATTAGGCTCCCCCCAAATACTGTACCACTAAAGTCTGGGAGACTAAGCAGCTCAAGAGGGGCATTGATTCAGTCACCTTCCAGAATCTGCACCATATTAAAGTCCCCAGGGCTCTCTCACCTCCGGGACGAGCAGGAGCAGTGTGGCTGTAGTCCCAAATGGGCAAGGGTCACTTTGTAGCAGTGGGGTTTCCATGACAGCCCTAACTACAAAGATAACCAGAGGTTGCAGTTAAACTGCCAAAGAAGTAATGCTGCCCCTTGTTATGTGGTAATAGAATGTAGTTATACCTTTGTTCCTGAAAAACAAAATTAATTACAAGCAACTAATTGTGTCTGGATTCATGAGCAATGCTCAGTGTGTGTGTGTGTGTGCGCGCGTGTGTGTGTGTACAAAATTAATTACAAGCAACTAATTGTGGCTGGATTCACGAGCAATGCTCAGTGTGTGTGTGTGTGTGTGTGTGTGTGTGTGTGTGTGTGTGTTGGTTTGGGTTGGAACTGTAGAAACCTACATATTATGTCTCTGGGAGGTTTGAGTGGGAAGGACTTTGGTTTTAATGTCAATAACATGGTAAAGTCCAATTGTTTCCCTCTCTGCCTCAGCTTCTTTTGCCTGTCTTTTTGCTCAGTCAGGGTTCTGCGTCAGTCAGAGTTTGTTAGCAATGTCAGTGTTCTGTGAATATTAGAGTGTGACAGTTATGGAGCCAGGAGTTAGAGTCCGAAGAAAGTGTTTATGTAACCAGTTAGTCAAAATAATGAAGTCAAGATCTTAAATGTGTAGCATAGTGGTTAAAGTGCAATACTGCAGCCCAAACTCTGCTCACAACCTGGCTTCGATCCCAGGTAGCCAGTTCAAGGTCCACTGCGCCTTCCGTCTTTCCAAGATTGACAAATTGAGTACCCAGCTCACAGTGGTGGTGGCAATGTGTAGCTTGCATAATTAAATTGTAGACCACCGAGAGAATGTTTTAAGTGCTTTAAGGCAGTATATAAGCAGCCCATTTAGAACTATGTAACAAGTAAATAGGCTTTGTTTATTTCTGACATATTTGAAGATTTTGTAAGTAAAGGAGAAACTTTTTTTATCCTTTCTCAACACCAGAGTGTTCGACTGAATCTATTGAGACTATTGTCAGTTGAGGTAAATTCTAACTAAAACTAACGATACAGTAAGGGGTGGTAGATTTGAGGGAGACCTGTAAACTATAATAAGCTGCTTTGTAGGCTCCCATTTTGATTGTCTCTCTGCTGTGCAGCTAGAGTTTTTAAGCCAGCAATTTCCACACTCTGCCAATAGTCTCCCCCTTTCTGTGTTTGCTTCAACTGCCCATTGCCCATCCATCCACTAGGATGACCACCAACATACCAATCCCTTTAACATCTAACTGCAAGCTACACAAAGAGAAGAAAAGCAAAGGCACATATTTACCGTGCTGCTGGAACCAAGCCAGCTCTGTGATGATTTATCTCTTGTTTTACATTTGGCACAGAGTCAGGAGGACATCACGACTGCTTTAATCTAACCCTACCTATTTCATTCACAGCTGGCACAGTTACAAATGAATTTCCCATGCACAAAAATTAGTCAGCCATTTTTCCCCACCACAAGTAAACTATTCATGAAACTGCACTTGACCATCCACAAATAGATTTGTGGGACACTGGATAAGGTATGATTAATTACAAATGCTTGCTTGTATTTGCACAGTACTTACATGTGAAAAAGCCAACGGATGGAAGGAAGACTAGGGTGAGAGCCAGTTGATGCACGAAGGTGGGGCCCCCAAGCCACGAACAAGGTGGCTTGGCTATCAAGCTGGACACTGGTATTAAGTCCGGAATTTCTAGGCCAGCAGCATCTATTTCCCCTCAGATCTAGAGCCTGACCACATCCTAGGCTATTGTGACATCACAGGGGATGGAGCCTTCAGCAGCATTTGCGAAATAAGGTATGTGTGACAGACAAACAATGTATAGGTTCTGTGATTAATCTAAAGGCACGTTTATGAATTCCAACAGCAGCTCTTGTTATTATGTGCCATCAAGTCAACTCCAACATATGCCGACCCTATGAATGAGCCATCTCCAAAATGCCCTGTCCTCAGCAGTCATGCTCAGCTCCTGAAAACTCAAGTCTCTAGGTTCCTTTAGGGAGTCAGTCCATCTTGTATTTGGTTTTCCTCTTTTCCTGCTGCCTTCAACCTTTCTCAGCATTATGGTCTTTTCCAGGGAACCTTGCCTTCTCACGATGTACCCAAAGCAGGACAGCCTCAGTTTCAACATTTTTGCTTCCAGAAATAGTTCAGGTTTTATTTGATCTAGGACCCACTTGTTTGTCTTCTTAGCAATCCATTGTATCTACAAAGTAGCTAGCACCCCATTTCAAACAAATCAATGGAAAATGGAAACAAGACATGTCCTGAAGTTAGGACTAAAAACTCTAAACAGCATGCCTTGAAGTCTTGGGAATAAAACCCAAAATAAGATTGTCAGGTGGAGAGTCTCCCACCTGCTCCATGAGATTTCAGGGCTGAAGCCTGAATTCTGAACCTCAAGCCTGAGTCTTGATGCCAACAGCTGTCTACCTGTCATACAGAGCAGTATCTTTATGAGCTTTGTGATGTCATCGGGAAAGGACATGTCTGTTTGTACAAATAGGCATGAGGTGAACCTAGGTAAGTGGCCCACAAGCTAAGTAAAACTGAACTAACCAGGGACTACGCAACCTAGACACCATGGGGGAAGAGACTATTTTTGGTGGCCAGGCATGTAGGAAAATGTATCCAGAAGATGCAGTGGTTTCTCTGTTCCTGCTAAGCCTTATTTATATTGCACATGGCACACAGAAAGCTTTCCCAGGCACTATGCTGTTGCAGTAAAGGCCCAGATCTTGAGATCATTTCTGCTGGCTTCAAGGTTTGGACCTGAAATCACAAGGAAGGTAGTGCTGCCAGCTTGGCCACGCTATCTGAAAGTCATCCTCATGGCCTTACAAAATGTCTTGGACATACCAAGAGGCACCTTTTTCTTTGAAATGACATGTTCTAGACCTCCTGCTGCTGAAATGCACACACAAGCCTTTAAACTCATTGTCTTCTAGGTTACACACAAGTCATCCCCTGACCTGATCTGGAGTCCATTTTGAAACTTTGGAACGTACCCCCATTTCTGTTCTAAGCATTTTGTGCCCCCAGAAACAATTCAGTCTGTAAACTTCCTATAGAGATGGGGGTATTTGTATTTGTATACATATACGGAATTGAATTCCCCCCCCCCCCACAAGTGGAGATAATGAGGATCCGGCCCCGTGGGGCCAGACCATCCCCTCTTCCACTGCTGCTGTGGGCTCCGGGCTCCATTCCTGTCACTCCAGAGCTCGCGGTGGATTAGCCACTCCTGGCAGGAGGCGGGATGATGAGCTTCTCTGCCGGGTCAAAGAGTGGCTCACAGATTGCAAGTGATAGGAAGGATCCCAGAGCTTGCAGCAGCAGTGGGATTGTGAGTGGACCATCTGGCCCCATGGGGCTGGACCCTCATTATTGCCACCTATGCAGGGGTATTCGTATTCGTATACAAATATGAATACCCCATCTCTAGCCTCCTACTAAAATGGCTCCATCTCTTTTTGTTTTGCCTGATACAAAGAACAATCTGGAGACATTATAGACTCTAAAATTAGGTATACACCCAAATTTTAGATAGCTTCAGATGTATATTTATTTATCATTGATTTATTACTTTGATTTATATACTGCCCATTAGTGCTGAATCACTATTCTGGGTGGTTTACAAGGAATTAAAGCAAATGGAGCAATAAACAATAAATACAACATAAATAGCAAAAACATAGTCTAAAGCTAAACAATCAATGGCACAAACCAGTCTTTGGAAAGAAGCAAGACTTGAGGCAAGGTATTTAACCGTGGTCAATGTGAAAGGCATCCTTTTAAAGTAGTAGTTTTAACTGCTTCCTAAATGAATACAGGAACCAGGCATAGCCCCTCTGGGAGTTGATTCCATAATGTCAGTGCCACCACTGAGAGGACTCTGCCTCTAATAAATGGCTTTCGAGCCTCTCCCAGAATGGCTACACAGAATGGCTCTCTCGGAATGGCCTGAGAAGATCTGGTGGGTCTGACAGAGGACATTGGGGAAAGACGCTCCAGCAGGCAACCATGAAGGGCTTTATATGTGAGTGTCAGGACCCTGAACTTGATCCAGGACACAATGGGTAACTAGTGGAGGCTGGCCATCACTGTGGTGATGTGATCAAATTTGCTCACACCAGCCACCAATCTGGCCCCCATGTTCTGACTATGGTAACATGCTCTAATCAGTCTCAAGGAAAGTCCCATGTAAAGAGCATTGCAGTAGTGCATCTGGGAGATGACCAGTGCCTGCACCAAGGTCTGAGACTGCCCATATCTAGATAGGGACAGAGTAGGGCCATAAGCCTAAATTGATTAAAAACTGATCTGGATGTGGCTGTGATCTGGGAATCCCAAGAAACAGCTGGCTCCAGAAGAATGCCAAAATTACGACCTTGATCCCTAAATGGGAAGGCTAGAGCCAGCTTAATGTTTGGTTCCTGAGTACTAGACACCTTTAAAATCTGCTTTTTCATAGGTGTTGAAGGAGGACAATGATGATGACGATGACAAGAATGGCTATTCCATCAGACCTCACTTAAATCAGTCCACATCAAGCCAGTCTGGTTTGGAATCTGGCATTCAAACCCAGTGCACAACCTTACTCAGCACTGTGTCTCTGCACCGTCTGTCAGACATACATTTTGCAATGGCTGCTAAAGAATTCATGCTTTGATCCTAAAATCTCAGGGACTGAAATCCTGCTAACCTGGCAACCCTAGAAAAAAAGCTTTGGCAATAAGAAATCTCTCATGTTTTCATGCTGATGTTTTGCCCTGCCCAGCTCCAAATGTTATGGCAGGCTCAAGTTCATGCAGTCGCTATCTCCTTCCCCTATTCCCATCTATTTCTTCCAGCTGGTTTGTGTGGGAATGCTGCAGAAACAATACAGAAACAACTTCCTGGGCACCAGCTGAAAATGGGTAGAAATAGGTAGTCAAGCTTCAAAGATGCCTCACACAAAAAATTATCCTTCCCAGTACTCTTTGCCCTGAAATTCTTCTCCCTGCTTATTTGTAGGCATCCTTCAGTCTTGAGAGACTATGGTAACATGCTCTAAATACAGGTCTTGGAACGGTGTCTAGTGTGGCTGAGAAGGCCAATATGAGAGTGACAATCCCTTCCACACTGAAGACAAATACAATCTGTCCCCTGTCCAGCTCCCTGGTTTTGCTGGTTTCCGGACTGCCTCTTTGCGTCGGCCTGCTAAACAAGTGTCTCTTCAAATTGGGAGAGGCCATGATGCACCGCCTGCCTCCAGGCGGAACGCTCAGAGGCCAAAGTTTCCCATCTGTTGAGGTCTATTCCTAAGGCCTTCAGATCCCGCTTGCAGATGTCCTTGTATCGCAGTTGTGGTCTCCCTTTGGGGTGCTTTCCCTGCACTAAGTCTCCATACAGGGGATCTTTTGGAATCTGACCGTCAGCCATTCTCACAACATGCCCAAGCCAACATAGATAGCGCTGTTTCAGTAATGTATACATGCTAAAAATCCCTGCTTGGAGACCCAAGGAAATATGCCAGTTCCCCAGCTTTCAGCTGGCACCCTGGCCACCTTACCTATTAGTGTTTACTCTGCGGTCCCTTTGAGCTCAGTGGGGTTTACTGCCAATTAAATTGCAGCCCTCATCCAATGTCTTAGGCCAGAAGTGGACCTGTAGCCATCAGCCTAAATTCTGATTGCAATAATCCAGATCAGAGCTTGGAAAGGCACTTTTGGGAATATACCCAACGATATGCTGAAGCCATTTGTGATAGAACAATGGAAGAATGACACATTGTCCAGGCTCCCAGTATTTTGAGCTGAAATTTGAGAGCAGAACCTGCTGAGTATGAATCTATCCACACATCTTATTTGCTCCTGTTTAAGAGGGCTTAGCACATTGATTTGATTTAGTTTAATGTCTCCACATGCCATCACTGCAAAATAAAAATAAAAATAAAAAAAATCCTCCTATTTCTTTTCCACTTCCAGATTAATTTGTCTCACTTGGGAAATGTTTTTTTTTTTTAAAAAATTGCTTGTTTGTTTGTTTTTGACTTGGCTTGGTTTGATTATTTCTGTTTTGGGCATCCTTGTTTGCTTGGGATGTGTCAGATGCATCTTTTGTCCTGATTCCTCTGGAGGTATGTAAAACTAAAATTCTTCTGAGATCAGCTGTGATATCAGTTGTTTGAGTGTTCTCCCTCCCTTAAAAAACAGAGGAGAAGGGTAAGACACCCTCACAAACCTTCTTGCCCTGACCTGAAAAGCTAGACAATTTCACCAGAAAGTAGGACATTACTGAATAGAAACCTCCCCAGCAGGGCTGCCTCTTGCCCTCTGCTTCTTTTGCTTCATTCACAGATCCTTCTTGCAGGTTTTGTGCAGGAAATGGTGTCAGAATTCCAGCCCATATCAGTCCAAGCAACACACCTCATTTGAATAAACCCCCATGTTGCTATTTCCTCACTCCAGTCAGAAACTTGATGACAGAATTCTGTTCCATTATTAGCTTTCCTCTTGAAGGTTATTGCAGTGGCCCATCATTCATGGTTACACAGGGACAAATAATGGTTGCAACACTTCCTTCTGCCTAGAAAAATGGCCAACATGTCAGGACTTGCCTACAAAGGCTCTTTTGGGGTGGGCTGGTGAGGGGTAAATAGGGTTGCTTGGGATTAGGCAGAGGTCCAATATACCATTTGGTGTGATCTTCACAACCAAATGTCATGCTGTTCCTCAAATGACCTGATTCG